CTCTCCAGAGAGGATTAAATGAAATAATAATAACGCACGTAAAGCATTGAATCCAGGGCCTGGCACGTGTAGTGAACATTCAGTAACTGTTAGCTCCACAGCTTCACACTGTGTGTGCTGACTGCAGACATGCAGACAAAGTAGGAAATAACCTGTTGGCATATGTATTCGAGTTTGCAAGACGGCCATGCAGGCCTTCCCTGAGCTGGTCAGGTTATCACGTGGCCGCTTTTACATCCACACTCTGTACAAGAAATCTGCTGCAGACAGCACGCCTCCAAAACCTGAGCCCAGCCCTGGCCAGCTTGGCTCAGTGGATAGAGCGTCAGCCTGCGGACGGAAGGGTCCCAGGTTCGATTCCGGTCAGGGCACGTGCCTGGGTTTGGGCTCGATCCCCAGTGGGGGGCGTGCAGGAGGCAGCCGATCCGTGATTCTCATCATGGATGTTTCTCTCTCTCCTTCTCTCTTCCTCTCTGAAATCAATAAAGAAATATATTTTAAACAACAATAACAAAAAAACACCTGAGACCAGCTGGCGAAAGCTGAAATTGTCCTTTCCCAGCGCCACTCAGCGCTCCAGCACCAATATCTGCAACGGTCAGTGAGCACTGGCCTCCTACCACCACCTGCGGGGCCAAGAAAAGTGCATCATTACCCAGAGGGCAGTGCGCCTAAAGGGGTTTAGCCAATGAAAGCCCAAGAGAGGGCCCTGGAGCTCATCGGTTTGGGCGGGACTTCCTGTGTCCTGTATCCGGCGGTCATTTCGACCTGGTTGTTCTCAGAGTCCCAGGCTCCACTTCCGGGTCAGCGGAGCAGGAGGCGGAGCTGGGGCGTCCCCGCGGGGCAGGGGGTCCCTGAGGCTCGTGGCACCGCAACCCCCAGGACTGGGCTCCCCGAGCCTCCCCGACTCCTCGGCTTAGAGACTTGGACTCAGCGTCACCCCCTCGCACCCTCCAGCCTCGGGGCCCGCGCCGCTCGGGTCCCGCCGCCCAGGGCGCAGCGTCCAGCGCAGTGAGTCCCCGTGGGGCCCGGGGTGTGAGGGGAGGGAGGGCGACGGGCTGCGGGGCCGCCGGGGGAGGCCGTGGGGGCTGAGCCGGGAGGGGGCACCCAGGCCTGGTTTGTGTCTAAAGGCGACAGAGAGAGATCGGCCTGCGGACTGAAAGGTCCCGGGTTCGATTCCGGTCAAGGGCGCATGCCCAGGTTGCAGGCTCGATCCCCAGTAGGGGGCGTGCAGGAGGCAGCCGATCCATGATTCTCTCTCACCATTGATGTTTCTGTCTCTCCCTCTTTGAATTTAATAAAAATAAAAATATAAGGAACTTGTCAAGGGTGTGCACTGAGGACCAAGCCCTGAGGCCATGCAGGCATCTGGAGGTGACCAGGCCCCAGGGCTGGGCAGCCTGAGCCCCTCAGTCTGGCGGTGGTGGCCAGGCTCTCCGCAGACCCTTTTCTTTCCACAGGTAATCGCTTTGAAGTACTGGGGTTTGGGGTTTGTCTAATCGCCTTGAAGTACTGGTTTTGTTCCCGGGAAACCCCGGGGTGGGCTCTGAATGCCTGTCGCAATGTCCAGTAAGGAAGGCAGGGTTGAATCCTATGAGGCCTTCATTGGGAAGGCCAGCCAACCAAGGAGACAGGGCAGTGGTTCTCAGCCTTCGTCACGCCGCGACCCTTTCATACAGCTCCTCATGTTGTGGTGACCCCCAACCATAAAATTACTTTCACGGCTACTTCCTAACTGTAATTTTGCTACTGTGATGAATCGTCATGTAAATATCTGATATGCAGGATGTATTTGCATTGTTACAAATGGAACATAATAAGAGCATAGTGATTCATCACAAAAACAATATGTAATTATGTATGTGTTTTCCGATGGTCTTAGGCGACCCCTGTGAAAGGACCGTTCGACCCCCAAGGGGGTCGCGACCCACAGGTTGAGAACCGCCGAGACAGGGCGCTTACAGGCATCCAAAACCTGACTTACAATCAGGTGCAGGCGACAGGATTCTATAGGGAAAATGGGCTGGAGTGGGCGGGCAAAGGAACGCAGCTGCATGCAGCCCTGGGGTCAGTAGAATTCAACCATTGTTCTCGGTTGTCGGGTGATGAGATGTTGTCTTGGCTCCTGGTGGGGTCGGCCTGGTCGTGCTTACGGGTTCTGTGTGCTTGCTGGGTCCAGCGGACATTGTCTGCGGGGAAGTCACCTCCTCCATCACTTTGTTTGGGATCAGAGAGATGGATAGGTGCCCTGGCCTGAGAAATGAAACTTAGAAAAAAAAAGAAAAGAAAAAAAAGAGACTTAACCCTCTGTTCCTATATAAGAAACTTAACCCTCTGTTCTTATATGTATTTCAGAGTTTCAAAATAATATGATTATCTTTCAGCTTAATCAGGCGCTTTCTCTGTCAGATCGTAAGTCCCCCCTATCACTTTCTGGAGCGGATGTCAGGGCCTCACACTCTTGTGGCCTCTGAGGCAGTGGGGTCCTGGGACTGTCCAGCCTCTCTTGCAGCCCTAGGACCTCAGGACCTTGAAGAGACACCAAGCCCAGAATCCTAATTCCATGTCTAGTGTCATATGAGTGGCCCCTGTTTTTAACTAGTGAGATGGGATGTGAGAGGTCCTTCCAGGAACAGGTTCCAGAGTGTGCAGACTCGGAATGAAGACTGAGGTAGTTCAGGAACCAGCAAGTATCTTGGAAGGAAGGAAAGAAGGGAGGAAGAAACTGGTAATACTTGGGAAGGATTCAGGTCTAGAGAAGCTTTGTGACAATGTGAGTGTTCTTCAGGTGATGGGAGCAGTGGGAGGTTTGGAGCAGTGGAGGCAGGGGATCTGACCCAGGTCTCCTTGGACGCCCTGTGGCTGCAGCATGATGCACAGTATGGGTGAGAGGGAGGCGGTGGAAAGACGAGGACGGAGGCTGCTGTGATCGTCTTGGTGAGTGTGATGGTAACTGGCCCATGATGGGGGCTGTGGAGATGGAAGACACAGTTGGGTTCTGGATCGGTGTTTTCGGTGTGGCCACCTGGATTTTCTAATGTTGTGTTTGAGAGAGGGAGAGGTCAGAGTCAGAGATGACGTGAAAGTTTGGTTTTAGCCGCTGGAGGTATGGAAACACCGTCCACTGGGATGGAGAAGTTCATAGTGGGAAGAGTAATGTTCATTTGCGAATTCAACAACTTTTATTTTTGGCCTGTTAGGGTGTGAGATATTTCAGGGAGCAGTTCACAAGCGTCTGGAACTGAACAGTGGTTCAGAATAAAGAGTTCTTAAAAGAGTAGTGGAGAGTGTATGGACCAGGGAGGAGTTGTAGATGACCTTTCTTTGTTTTTTGTTTTTTTTAAATTATTGGATATGAAAGAGTAATTCAAATAAGTTGAGATTGGGGCTGATGCATATTTACTTCTTTTTAAAAAAATATTTATTTTACTGATTTTTTTTACAGAGAAGAAGGGAGAGGGATAGAGAGAGTTAGAAACATTGATGAGAGAGAAACATCGATCAGCTGCCTCCTGCATACCCCCCACTGGGGATGTACCCACAACCAAGGTACATGCCCTTGACTGGAATCGAACTTGGGACCCTTCAGTCCGTAGGCCGAGGCTCTATCCACTACGTCAAACCAGCTAGGGCCATATTTACTTCTTAAACACTCACCAGGAATATTTTGTGAGCCTTGGTGTGGCCTGGGTGTTGCAGTCAGTCTGGTTGATTTGCTTATGGGCATGAATGGGCATCTGTGAGACTCACTGGGCATGGGGTAGAGGGCCATGGGTGATGGGACTTGAGTAAGGAAGGCTGTGAAGGGACCTCAAGTGCAGCCCCAGTGGAGGTGGGCTGTGGACATCTGCGAGCTGATGGGTTCTCAGTAGGTGCAGTTGAAGAGAAAAACAAAACGAAACAGGGAGGGAGGCCTTCATGGCAGCGCGCAAGGCTGTGCTGTGAATGTAGGCTCAGAGAGTCAGGTTCGTCCCTGATCCTGTCTGAACTGGCCAGGCACTGTGTGGGCCACACATGCTGAGTAATGAGCAAGAGGCCAAAATGATGCCTGTGGGGGCTGGGGCTATGGGAGTGTAGGTGTGAGAGAGGTGGGGGAGAAACGGACATGTGCACTTGGAGAGGGAGTGTGAATTCATGGCTGCAGGGCCTGACATTGACAGAAGAGTGAATGAATGAAGGGGGGGGGGTCCATTTTGGTTGGTAACTGGATGATACAATAACGGGAATTTTCGGTTAGTTCCTGAAAAGAGGGTGTGTTCTGGTGCTACATGCCAGGTCCAGAGCTTAGGTGTCATATAGGTGCCCACCTGCCTGTTGTTGAGGGCTGATTCAGTGATCAGTAGGAATGCCATAGTATACATTAGTGTGACCTGGTCTTGAAAATTTCCACCGGCCTGGGGAAGAAAGAGGGCAAGAGAGAAATACGCTACAAAGGTGGTGAGTGAGAATTTTGGAAAAGACGCTGATTATCATCCTGGTCATGGCATGTTTGTGTGATGCGTGACGTGGCTCTGTGAGAGGAGTGTGGCTCAAAGAACTGTGTTCATCGGGTAGTGCAGCATGATGGCCTCAGCACCCGGGGGTAATGGTCAGCAGGATGAGGTGTGATGTCATGTTTTTCGCGGTCTGGGAGGGAGAATCTGGGACACCACGAGGGTATTGCCTGACAAGACCAGTGTCAGGTCACTCACACTCTTTTATGGCCAACATCTCTCTCTACTCTGTGTTCATGACAACCGCTTATTGACAAGGGGCAGCGTGGTCTACATGTGAGGCCCGGAGCTCAGGTACCTTCTCTCTGCTCATTGGCCTTTAGTGTTCTGGGAAGAACAGTATCAGTAGGAATATAAGCAGAGAGTAACTTTGATGGGACCAAGGCCTGGTATCTTCTCTGATGTGGGGAGAAGAGGGAGCAGATGGATGTGGAGGGTGGGGAGTATGGCAAACATAAAATCCTAGGAGAGAAGCTGATCATGGACTGAACTGTTCCCTTATGACAGGATATGGACTTTGAGGACGTGGCCATTGCCTTCTCCCAGGAGGAGTGGGGGCTCCTTGATGAGGCTCAGAGACTGCTGTACTGCGAGCTGATGCTGGAAGTGTTTGCGCTGGTCTCATCTCTGGGTAAGACCTTCACATCTCTCCCAGTGTCCTGAGTAGTTCTGTCTTCCTTTATTCTGCAGATGTAGCTCTCACAGCCAGACCATGGGCTCTGCTAATTTCTCCCTCTGTCCTGTTAGAAGTGCTGTGGCTGCCAGTGCTGAGGTGCTTGGAGAGCCTGGAGCAATAGACTCAGCAAACACCCCTGACACCCATTGCCTCGGGGGGTGCACGAAGCGTGTGGAAGTTACAGGTCTTGTCGTCAGCTTGATGGGATCCACATTAACTTCCTCTTCCTGGGAGGGTGACTTTGTCCACATCCATGGCTTCCACTTCTGTGCCCTTCCCCCAGCTAAAGGTGCTTTATGATAGTCTGTGCCAGGTGATGGTCTTCACTTACATGAACCAAGGACTCTTTTTTTTTTAAACATCTAGTGGCACTTTATTTATTTATTATTGATTGATTGATTGATTGATTTTAGAAAGGAAGGGAGAAAGATAGGAACGTCAATGATGAGAGAGACCCATTGATTGGCTGCCTCCTGCATGCCCCCCACTGAGGACCGAGTCCGCAACCCAGGCACGTGCTCCTGGCCAGAATCGAACCTGGGACCCCTCAGTCCGCAGGCCAACGTTCTACCCACTGAGCAACACCGGCCAGGGCAAGGGCTCTTCTTGTGAGACCCTTTTTTAGTTGTTTGTAATATTCGCTTCCCTGAGCGTTATTGTGTGCTGAGTTGCTCTGGGCCAGTGCTGGCTGCTCACCTCTGTTGTCTTTCATTAATATTCAGAATATTTAGGTTTTACGTATGTGTTCAGTAGAAGGGGCCGGGAGAAGCCTTGTGTATTTCACAGGGTGAACATGCGGGATGGCCTCAGAGGAGGCCTGGGCCTGTTGAGTTGCATCTGGGGGGAGCTATGACACAGGCGCAGTGTTTAGGTCATTCCAAGAACCTGCTCATTTCCAACAGTGTTTTGGTGCAAGTGCCATTTCTACCTTTTCCCCCACATACTGGACACTGTGCTGACTTGTCATCTCTTGTGTGACTTCCTGGGTTTTGGCTACCTTCATCTTTGTGGCCTTTTCCCATCACCTGTTCCTCTGCACTGCTTCCTCTGCCGTATTCTCCAACACGGGCCTGCACAGTCATGTTATGAGGTGCACATGCATGTGTAAGTCGTCCTTGAACACCAGCTACTCACTTACTGAATTTTTCTTGAAATAAGATGTAACCAATGTTCAGCATAGCTTGCCTACGTCACCAGCAGAGAGGCCCTGCTCAATGCTATTAGCCGAAGAATGAACGGGGGATCCTGCTTCTCTTACATGTGGTGCTTGCCATGCTTGTGTCATATTTCGTTTTAGGTCTTCCTTGTTTTTTTTTTTCCATGACCAAGTGGGATTTATTCAGGGGATGCAAGGCTGCTACAATATTCACAAATCAATACATGTGATAAATGGCATAAATAAAAGGAATGATAAAAATCACACAAACCCATCATTATACACAGAAAAAGCATTCAACCAAATCCAAATCCAGCACCCATTTTTGGTAAAAACTCTCAGTAAAGTGCAAATAGAGGCTTCATACCACAACACAATAAAGACCATATATGACAAACCTACAACCAACCTCATACTCAATGATCAAAAACTAAAAGTCTTTCCCTTAAAAGCAGGAACAAGACAGGGAAGCCCACTTTACCACTCCTATTCCACATAGTACTGGAAGTTCTAGCCACAGTGATCAGACAAGTATAAAAAAAATCAATGGCGCCGAAACCGTTTTGGCTCAGCGGATAGAGCGTTGGCCTGCGGACTCAAAGGTCCCAGGTTCAATTCCAGTCAAGGGCATGTACCTGGGTTGCGGGCACATCCCCAGTGGGGGATGTGCAGGAGGCAGCTGATCGATGTTTCTGACTCTCTATCTCTCTCTCTTCCTCTCTGTAAAAAATCAATAAAATATATTAAAAAAAAATCAATGGCATCCAAATCGGAAAGGAAGAAATAAAATTGTCATTCACAGAATACATGCTGTTGTACTTAGGAAAACATAAAGACTCCACCAAAAAACCAAGAGAATTAATAAATGAATTCAGAAAATTAGCAGTATGCAAAATCAACAGCTAGAAATCAATGGCATATTTCTACACCAATAGTGAACTCTCATAAAGAGAAATTTAAAAAGCAATCCCATTTCCCAATGCTATGAAACAAATAAGATACCTGGGAATAAACTTAGCCAAGAAGGAAAAAAAACTTATACTTAGAAAACTACAGGCCATTGAAAAAGAAATAGAGGAAAATACGAACACGTGGAAACATATACTGTGTTCATGGATTGGGCTTCCTTGTTTTTGATCTTAAGTGGTCCAGAGCTTCATAGCAGCATTTTCCTTTCATCCAGTTGCATGAAGTCAGCGTGTTATGTGCAACACACTTTTGTGATGGAACTTCTCCTGTCACCACAGTCAGCATTCATTTTCTCATTATTTCTCTCTTTGCAGGTTGTTGGCATAAAACGGATGAGGAGGAGGCCTGTTCTGAGCAGAGTGTATCTGTACAAGGGGAGTCACAGATCAGGGCTTCTAAGACAGCTCCAGCAACCCAGAGGACCCATCTGTGTAAGCGGTGTTTCTCTGTTTTAAAAGATATTCTGCATCTGACTGAGTCACAAGCAGCATACTTTGAGCAGAAAGCCTTCTTCAGTGATGAATGGGTGAGAGACTTCTGTTTCAGTGCAAACCCTTGCCAGCAACAGAGGGAAGCCAGTGGAGAGAAGCCCTGGAAAGAAGCTGTGGACAGGGCCTTGTTTGTGACCAGGTGCAGCTTCTACTTACCAGGGCTGCCTTCAACCAGGAGGGAGGTTGGGGAAGACTTGCCAGCCATCTCAGAGCTTCTCCAGCCCCAGGCCCCTCTCAACACTGAGGAGCCACACAGTGGCAGTGAGATTTCCCAGAAACTTCTCAGTGGAAAAGGTCATAACCAGTGGGGTCAATGTGAAAATGCTGCCAGCCACAACCAGAAAGTTGTTCAACAGAGCGTCTGCAAGGGAGAAGTGAATTATGAATATAACAAATATGGAAAAATTTTTAGAGGAATCTCTAGCCTCATTCGATATAGGAAAGTTCACACTGGGGAAAAGCCATATGAGTGTAGTGACTGTGGGAAGTCATTCAGGTATATCTCTGTTCTTAATCAGCACCAGAGAGTTCACACTGGGGAAAAGCCATATGAGTGTACTGATTGTGGGAAGACTTTCAGTCATAGGTACAACCTCACTCAACACCAGAGAGTTCACACTGGAGAAAAACCTTATGAATGCAGTGAATGTGGGAAATCTTTTAGATGCCATAGTCATCTTTTTTTTTTTTTAATTTTTTTTTTAATTAAATCTTCATTGTTCAGATTATTACATTTGTTCCTCTTTTTTCTCCCCCCATAACTCCCCTCCTCCCAGCTCCCGCCCCACCCTCCGCCCTCACTCCCCACCCACTGTCCTCTTCCATAGGTGCACGATTTTTGTCCAGTCTCTTCCCGCACCTCCCACACCCCTTTCCCCCCCAAGAATAGTCAGTCCATTCCCTTTCTATGTCCGATTCTATTATGATCACCAGATTATTTATTCACTTGATTCTTAGATTCACTTGTTGATAGATGCATATTTGTTGTTCATAATTTGTATCTTTACCTTTTTTTTTCTTCTTCCTCTTCTTAAAGGATACCTTTCAACATTTCATATAATACTGGTTTGGTGGTGATGAACTCCTTTAGCTTTTCCTTATCTGTGAAGCTCTTTATCTGACCTTCCGTTCTGAATGATAGCTTTGCTGGATAAAGTAATCTTGGTTGTAGGTTCTTGGTATTCATCACTTTGAATATTTCTTGCCATTCCCTTCTGGCCTGCAAAGTTTCTGTTGAGAAATCAGCTGACAGTCGTATGGGTATTCCCTTGTAGGTAACTGGGTTTCTTTCTCTTGCTGCTTTTAAGATTCTCTCTTTGTCTTTTGCTCTTGGCATTTTAATTATGATGTGTCTTGGTGTGGTCCTCTTTGGATTCCTTTTGTTTGGGGTTCTCTGCGCTTCCTGGACCTGTAGGTCTATTTCTTTCACCAGGTGGGGGAAGTTTTCTGTCATTATTTCTTTAAATAGGTTTCAATATCTTGCTCTCTCTCATCCTCTGGCACCCCTATAATTCTGATGTTGGTGCGCTTGAAGCTGTCCCAGAGGCTCCTTACACTATCTTCATATTTTCGGATTCTTTTTTCATTTTGCTTTTCCAGTTGGGTGTTTTTTGCTTCTTCGCATTTCGAATCTTTGACTTGATTCTTGCGCTCCTCTGGTCTGCTGTTGGGTGTCTGTATAATATTCTTTATTTCAGTCAGTGTATGCTTAATTTCTAGTTGGTTCTTTATCACAACATCGAGGGTCTCATTAGATTTCTTGAGGATCTCACTACATTTATTGGCGGTCTCACCAGTCTTTTCGAGGGCCTTACTAAGTTTATCGGCAGCTTCTAGACAGTTCTTAAGAGACCTTAAAAGTGTGGTTCTGAACTCAATATCCTCCATTGACAGTTTTGTCCTGTTTCTTTGTCTCCGCATTTTTTATGCTTTCTTGGTGCACCCCCTAGTGGTCTTTGTCCGCAGTCTTGTTGCCTTTAAGCCTTGATTGATGTCGGCAATACCGGGGTGATTTGACCTCCAGGCTAACTGGCTATGAGAGTCTGCTGTGTCTGTAGTGGGAGGGCTTCTGTGCTGGATCTCTAGGGCGGTGCTAATCTAGCGTTTGCCTGAGGCTATCCGGCAAATGGTTCTGTGCAGGGCTTGGGCGGGGCGGGTCCCCGGGGATCTACAGGGCGGGAGGAACAAGCAGTTATGGCGACTCTCAGTTCCTTCCCCAGGGGCTCTGCCTCTCAGAGCCCCAGCAATGGCTGCAAACCTCGGAGAGAAAGCTGCCTTCGAGTTCCGACCGAAGCCAGACAGTCCCGTTTCTCCCGTTTGAGTCTCAGTCCCCAGAGACTCGCCTGGATCTGGAGCTCAGAGTCTGAAACTCCCTCCCGATTGAAAACAACAACCGCGCCCTCCGCCGCCAGCCCGCTCCGCACGCACACTCCGCACCTGAGTATTTCACTTCAGCACTGCGCCTTCTCTGAGTCTGGGTATGATATTCTCTTTCCTCCTAGTTGTAGAATTTCCACTCAGCCAGCCTTCCCGTGGTTCTGGGTGACGTCCGTTCTGTCCTTTAGTTATATCTCTGAAGTGGTTGTTTGAGGCAGCGATCTCCGGCGTTAACCTATGCCGCCATCTTGGTTTCTCCCGCCATAGTCATCTTTTAACCCACAGGAGAATTCACACTGGAGAAAAACCTTATGAGTGTAGTGAATGTGGGCAGTCCTTCAGACGAAGGCGTGCCCTCACTGAACACCAGAGAATTCACACTGGAGAAAAACCTTATGAATGCAGTGAATGTGGGAAATCTTTTACCCGAAAATCTCACCTCCTTAGACACCTGATTGTTCACAATGGAGAAAAGCTTTAAATGTGCACCGAATACTTTCTTTTTCTCATTGACAATAACAACACTGAAGGGGTCTCTTTGATACACATTTAACAGAAGATAAACCCCTTTTATCACAACATACACTCCCCTAGATTCCTCATAAAATTTCAAGTAGAAGTGATGCTTTAGATAACTGCATGGCACTTGCTAAGCTGCTCAGTCCTACTACCTGATTGAAATCACTGGGAGTATTTCTGGCTGAGGCGACTTCACCTCCACCACCTGGCTCACCTGAACAGGGTGCCTCAGTCACAACCCCTATGTGGTCAGGGAAAAGGAATTCTGTGTTCTCACCTCGGCCTGAGCACACTGTGATTACTCCAAGCTCGTGGCAGGATCTTCATTCCTTTCTGACTAGGAAATGGAGTTGATTGAGGGTTCATCCAGCGCACCCATCCTCAGCTAAGAAGAGCTACCTCTCTCAGAGACATCGTGGCTCTCACCTTATGCTGTGATGAATTGTTTCAGGTTCCAATTCACCAACCTGCAAACCCATGGAATTTTCTAACACGTCTCTGGTTTATGATCTTTTTGTCCAGGTGCTTTTACTCATGTACTAGTACCTTTCATTTTGTTGGTCCTATTCATTGCCTGGATTGATTTGAAAGCACACTTGGGATCTGTCAGCTTGTGCAGGAGAACAGACATTGTGGGAATCCCCAACCTGCTGTGCCCCCAAGGCAGGCATGGAGTCAGAAAATCACTTTGTCCCTTATTCACTTGTAATGCTGTGCTGCCCAAGACCTGGAAAGAAAGCCGGCATGACTTTGTGGTTCTCATTTGCAGCCTGGTGCCTCCTATGATTGAGGTCTGAGGTCATCCTGAAGATGGGGGGAGGGGCTTTGTTGTGCTTCTGTGAACAATGTGAATTATATTCTCTGTTCACAGTGTGTATTACATACTGTCAAGGTGCCCTGTGCCGTTATGAATGACATTTCATAGGCTGGTGTCGCTTGTGTTGAGACTCTGAGGGTTAGGTTGAACTACAACTGGGTCAGAAACCCTGTGTTCATAGTGAGTGGGAAAGAGTGCAGTGAATTAAGTGAATCGCGCCTCTTCTGAACGTTACCCACAAATGACCAAGGACGTGTGACCTGTGTGGTCCTTGTGGACAGGCGTCCTCAGTTCCTCCATCACTGTTTCCTGTGGCTAAAGTCATTTTTAGAGAAAATAATCTAAAGGGTCTGTGTCCTCTTCTGGCCTCTCTAAGGTGTTCACCTCAAGGTTTGCTCAACAGGCAAGACCTCAAATCTAGAGGAAGGGTAATCCTGTAGTCAGTCCCAGGATGTGGCATTTGTGACCCAGTCAGCATTCCTGTTGATTCTGATGGCCATAGTCTTCCCTGCTTGCCAACATTTGCTGCCACTGAGGCAAGGCTGGTCCTCCCAGGAAATTAGGAGAGAGATGGTAGAGCCCATATAGGGTTGTCATTTTAATTTTCTAACAAGACAGGGATATCTAGGCCTTTATTTGGAAGCACATTTTAAGGTTTTATTTAGGTATATTTGCAACTGACATGCAACAAAATGAACTGTCTAATGTGTACTGTTTGGTGAGCTGGGACATAGGGATCAAGCTCTAAAATGGTCACATGTGACATAAACTTATCTCTCACCCATATACAGGTTAGGGCAAAACCAGGCATACAGATGTGAATATGCAAAACACAGAGTTGACTCTCTATTTTTCTAAATTAGTATTTTACATATTTAAAAATATTTTTATTGACTTTTCACGAAGAGAGGAAGGTAGAGAGAGAGAGAGAGAGAAATGGTGAGATTAGAAAGAAACATCAAACAGCTGCCTCCTGCACGTCACCTACAGGGCATCCAGACAGGCACGTACCTTGAGCTGGAATGGAACCAGTGAGCTGGAGGGCAAGGGATGGTGCTCAAACACCTGACGTTCACTGGCAGGGTAGAGATTATTCTTGCTTTTTTTTATTTTTAAATTATTGTAGTAATTTCCATGCCAACAGCTCTACATCTACTTGAGCCACATCCTGTATTTACCTCCTGCCCTTTTGTAATCTCTCTTACTGCCTTCCCCAGGCCTAAATGTAGTCATTGATTTTCCTTCCTTTACAAGATTAGTTAATATTTTTTTAAGATTAGTTAATATTTTTCATAATTTCAGAAGCACTATAAGGGGTATACAAATATTGCTTTCCTTCATGCTACACAGTTATTTTGAGATTCAACACGAATGCTTATGTGAATAGTTAATTATTTTTTATGGCTGAGTCATACTGTGTTCTGTGAATAACCAGTTTACCTATTGATCTGTCTATGGTTTTAGTTATTTCCAGGTTTGGGATATTAAAAATAAATCTGCTGGGAATATTGCCTTCAGTTCTTTATATAGAGGTATGTTTTACTTATCAAAGTGATGCAGTGTAGGTAAATGTTTTACCTGTTGGTATATGCAGAACTGTGTTCTAAATGGTCATTCCCTTGCCTTTCCGCCCACCCACAGTAATGAAATTTTTAGTTTTTCCACAACCCTGCCAGCACATGTGATGTTTAATCTTTTTAATAATAGGCCGAGAAATGAGTATAGTGTTAACTTGCTTTGTTTTAATTCCATTTCCCTAATAAATTTTTATGGTGAACGTTTTTTCAAGCTATTATTTACACTGTGTTTGTCTCCTTTGTTGAAATGTCTGGTCAGAATCTTTTGCCAATTTTTTAAATGAATTTATTATTTTAACTATAGGTTAGTGCAGCATCTAAGATGTATTTATTCATTTCACTCAATCCTCAATGACTCAACTGAAATCGTTGCAATGTAAAACTATAAACATTTTTTTAAAAATATTTTTTTATTGATTTTTGATAGGAAGAAAGAGGGATAGAGAGATAGAAACATCAATGATGAGAGAGAATCATTGATTGCCTGCCTCATGCACGCCCCCATCTGGGGATCAAACCCGCAACCCAGGCATGTGCCCTTGCTTGGAATGGAACCCAGGACCCTTCAGTCCCCAGGCCAATGCTCTATCCACTCAGCTAAACTGGCTAGGGCTCAACCCCTTAATTCTTTTTTTAAAAAAATATTTTTTATTGATTTCAGAGAGGAAGGGAGAGAGAGAGATAGAGAGAGAGAGGAGAGAGAGAAATATAAACTATCAGAGAGAAACATCTATCAGCTGCCTCTTGCACATCCCCTACTGGGAATTGAGCCCACAACCTGGGCATGTGCCCCTGTTCAGAATCGAACCTGGGACCCCTTCGTCCACAGGCTGATGCTCTATCCACTGAGCCAAACCAGCTAGGGCCCCTTAATTCTTTTTTAAAATTGTAATCCTCATCTGAGGATATGTTTATTGCTTTGAGAGAGAGAGGAAGGGAGGGGCACAGAGAAAAAAAAGGAACACCAATCTGAGAGGAAACATGGACCGTTTGCCCTTCATAAATGCTGGACAGCAGATCAAACCTGCAACCTAGTCTGTGCCCACACCAGGAACCGAACATGCCCTTTGATTTAAGTGGGCGAATAAAATGAAGTTGCAAGAGATTGAGCCGCCTGGCCAGGGCAGCACCTGAAATCTTCCCGTTTCCTTCAAGACCGTGAGTTAGTATGACTCCGCATTTGGGGGAGTGTTTGTTTTGCATGTTGCCTGTTGGTTGTATGTGTGAATTGGCTGTCCCCTTGGGTGTTCCTGATGTGTGTATTGTGTTCTCTTTGTGTCTGTGTTCTATGTCCGTGTATGTCTGCTCTGGTGTGTTCACGCGTGTGTCCATTGTGTTTGTGTGTGTGTGTCCTGTGATATGACCTCAATTATTTCTATGTATGTCCATTGTGTGTGTGTGTTCCCCTCAAGGTGTTCCCTGTGTCTGCAGTGTGTGTCTGTGTGAGCCTGGCCATAAGCCCTGCACCTGAGTGCCCAGCTGTGGCTGGGGGTGTCCTGTACCTGCGTGTTTCTGTGCTTGTGGTGTTGGTATGTTTCCCTGTGAGTCTGTGCACCCCAGACACAGGCAACTGCCTAGGCAGTCTCTGGAGGGGTCAGAAAGGGGCCGTCTGCCCCTGCTCTCCCAGCCTCTGCTGTCCCTCAGGGGGTCCCCTCTCAGGCCTCAGGGATGGATGAAATGAAAGGTCAGTTCATAGAACCCCAGGCTGTGGGAAGGGGAGGAATTAGGGAAGATTCTGATGGCAGACTGGAGTTAGAGAGAGTGCATGGGGAATGTTTGTGAAGGACACTATGCTTCCTGGAGGAGCTGGGAATCCAGGTCCCTTGGGAAGGAATGAGTGGGTGGGTGCATGTGGGGGGAGCTGAAGGGAAAGACTTCGAGGCTCCTAACCCCCAACTCAGGAATGAGGAAGTGGACGTCCCTGGAGAGGGGTGTCCCTTGCCCATGTGAAAGCGAGGCTGACCCCTAAGGGAGGAAGGTGCCCAGGGCTCCATGGATCATCATTCCGGGACTTCTGGGCTCTGGTCATCTCCTGGGAGTGCGTGGCCAACCAGGACCCTGGGGCCAGGAGGGGAATTAGGGCCACAGATCTCTTCACTGTGGATGGAGGGAAATATGGAGGAACCGCATTTAGCACAGGTTCCTGCACAGAAACCACAGGGTCACCACTGAGGTTACCGGCAGCATTTTCACCATCAGCCCCACCTGCTGGGGCCCTCACCTGGGCAACACAAAAGATCCAGGGCCTTGGAGGCTTGGGTCATTGATGTTCATGTAAAAGCACATGGATGCTGGAGGCTTCCAGCCTGTGCCCTTCCCAGTCAACACTCTTAACTTGTGAGTCTTCCTGTGCACCAAGTGTGTGACCGGAGGCAGCCAGGGGTTCACCCAGGAGTCACACTCAGAAGTGGGTTCTGAGTTTGCTGCCAATGCCATCTGCCCAAACTCCTTTTCTGAGGTTCACTGCTTTGGAACTTGTCAGGATGGTTTAGGGCAGCGGTTCAAAACCTGTTGGTCGCGACCCTTTGGCGGTCGAACGACC